AAAAATTTCCACTACGGTGGTCATTAAAGTGCCTGCGACATGAAATTTTTAAAATAAATATAAAGCCATTATTGGAAAGATAACATTATTAGCATATTGCAAAAATTATTTCCAGCTGCTGAGATGTTTGCATGTGAAGGAACAGGAAGTGATGTCAAAGGGGAATGCCTGCATGGAACAAAGCATTGATAAAATAGCTAACGACACAGACTGTAGAGAAGAACATGATGTTTTTTTACATTATTTTTAGTCACTATCAAAGAGAGATGAAGACGAGTCAGAGTTCAAATAATATTGTTTCAATAAACAAAGATTACAGAGGTCTCTTTCTCAAAGAGTTCCTCTTTGATGTCACTTCCTGTTTCACTTTGGCTGAGCCAAAATCAAAAGAAAATATGTCATTTATGTGACAAAATGGGTAAAGTCACATGTTTTATTCAAGGTGTCTTATATAAAACGTGTTTTCTTTGACTTTTTGTGTTTAATGGATAGGCATGTCACAGGCACTTTAAACTCGTTATTTGTCTGCAAAAGCCTATAAAAAAACCTACTTCCTGTCAATAAAAGTCTGAAAATTAGGGAGAAATACAACAAATGACGACAGCCTCTCCCATGATGGTAACTCACGTCGGTCACATCGAAGTTCCCGTTGGTCCAGAGAACAATGGAAAGGATGGTGAAGACAATCTTCATGAGGGCAAACTGGAAGGAGCCAAGCTTGAGCAGGAAGAGAGAGCGCCTGGAGTCCAAAAAAACAGAAAAGAAAAAAAACAGAGGAAACTAAATTCACAGTGGATTCTCATTAATGAAACGCGTCGGACGAGAAACGGTCCCGGGTCCATTGTGGAGTTCCCCGTCGTCCCGAYGGCTGACCCGAACAGAAGGATGTTGTTCTAACCATTCAGAGACCCACTGGGACCATTATGGAACAGATTTGAATGAGTTTGTGCAATAATAGAAACCCGGTCTGCACCTCCGAGGAACTTTAGGATTTCTTAGAAACAAATCCCACAAACAGCAGCGTGTCTTAGGTAATTATAGTCATCACCGTGCAGGATGTTATGGTACAAGATTTCTTTTTTTGCATCGACACATAAAACTCCAAGCACTCCTGTACTCTTTGTTTTTTTTATTTAAAATTAGACTCATACGGTTTTTACACAGCTAAAACAAGGGAGGGCATGATAGGACCAAGTCCTGGGAACACGTTGGCCCTCCGAGTTGAACGACCTCGCGTGCGCTCACTCTAATCACAGAACTGAGTCGTACCTTCTTGTCTGAATTCCACACAGGCTGACTTTGTCCGAACAAGTAAAAAAAAAAATTAAAAAAACATCATAGTCACTGTGACGTGGTCGGAGCAGTCAGAGATCCTGCGCAACATCTGTACCTTGTTGAATGTTGCAAAACTTTTTAGTTATATGATTGCCACAAGAAAGTGTTTAAATGTGAGGCAAAAACCAGATTTCATTTCAAATCCTGAAGAAGTTAAAGACAAAAAACTGGTTGGTTTAAAGCAGGGGTGTTCTGTTCTGGTCCTGGAGGGACGTTTATACCAGTTGTATTTAACTTTGACTACACATGAAGTCCTCGTCTCATATGGCTGAGAACTGCTAACAATATCTGAGCTCTACCTGGTATTTCCTGCATACAAACAGCGTTTTAACACAACCTCTTATAAACACTGAAAAGTATGTACGACTGTCTAAAAGTGAAATAAATAATACAGAAAATTAAAATTAAGAGATTCTCCCTCACTGTTGAGTTGTGCTAAGTAGCTGCCAGCTTAAATTCTAAACTGTCCCAGTTTCCAAACAGGGAATTCCCACTGAAGGGGGCGTTCCAGTTTAAATGTACAGCTTGTAAGTGGGGAATTCCCACTTCCAGTACAATTGGGCGACAGCGAAAGTAGAAATCCGCAGTGACWGTGTCTCAATTCATGGGCTGGATCCTCATGAGCACGTAGCCCAGCCGGGCCACATGGGTTAAACGGGCCCGTACGGCTGTGAAATGAGACGGTCCAGCTTGATGTCGGCTTGACGTAAGTTTGCGTGACCACCCCAACACCATTGTGAGTGGTTTCATGTCAGACTTAAAACGCGTTGTGTTTTCACTGGAAGAATAACTTTGCAAGTAAAACATTACTTGTAAATAAATACACAAATAAGTAAATAAATAAAAACATTTATAATTCGGGTAATAATTTAGCTCCAGTATCAGTACTTGTAGTTGCATTTTATTTAACATCTTATTGCAGTATGAATTTCATCAGCTAAGTTGCTAAACTTACATAATTCTTTGATCAATGATGAATTTACAAACTACGCTGACTTGGTAAAAAATAAAAACTCCATCGTCTTCGTTTCTCTGTATATTTATCTGACGGAGCATTGAATCCTGGGATATCCTCGGCTGACAAATGCGCATTCATGAGGATGTAGCCAATGTAGCATCTCTATACGCTGTACTTTCTCCGCTGCACTTGAACCCTGTGCACTTCTACCTATTGCTGTGATGCTTTCATTACGCGGGAAAAATTATCGACATGCAGATGTTTTTTTTAAAGATTTGTAATTTTATTTTGATTTTATTGGCCTTTATTGTCCCGCAGAGGGGAAATTAATTCTCTGCATTTTACCCATCGCGCATGTGAACACACATGCGGAGCAGTGGGCTGCCAATTACAGCACCCGGAGAGCAGCTGAGGGGTTAAGAGCCTTGCTTAAGGGGCCAAAGTGGAGCTGGTTGGTTCGGGAAGTTGAACCGGTGACCTTCCGATCACAGACTCATCTTCTCTAAACTCTGCGCTACCACTCCCAGTTCATGTCTTCAAAACAGCATACGCCTATTTTAAGATATTACATCTTTGAAGCTCTTGTGGGCCACATAAAATGCGGTGGCGGGCCACATTTGGCCCAAGGACCTTGAGTTTGACGTGTGTTTTATAGGTTTCTCTCTTTCCAGCACATCTGGTTTGAACGAACGTGTGATTAACAGGCTTCTGCAGAACATGAAGAGGTAAACCAATCACTAAATCGGGTGTGCTGGAGCAGGAAAACAAGGAACACATGTAGGATGAACAATCTGTTGCAGTTTTAGTCAAAACCAATTTTCTTATATTTATCTTATGGACTTTTTACTTTGAGTAAAAGGTAAAACAGACAAGTGGTCAACAAAATCCAAGATACCCTATGAGGTTTGAGCAAAAAAATATTTAAAATGTCCTTGTGAGAATGTGTCGGGGTTATAAAGAGTTATTTGAAACAGTTGATAAATCTGTGCCAGCCACTTCCTTTTTACCAACTAATTACTAGTTTCTTAACCAAAACAAGAAGCCACAACATCAACACCATTACTATAAAAAGATAAGCAGCACTTCTCAAGAATTTTGCTTCAATCTGTGAGACGGTAGACGTAGATTTCCCTTCACTCTAATAAAAACAAACTCTTATCTGTCAAGAATAAACAGAACCAGACTTGCTGGACATATGAAAATGCCTCCCAAGAAATTACACGCAATTAGCGGATTCCGCTACCGTAGATTGTAAAAGGCAATAAAGCGGTGTTTATTCTGGCGTGTTCCCGGAGGTTACCGTGTGATGGCCACGTGTGGGAGACAGAGGCAGCAGCAGCAGCAGGGCCCCGTGCTGATCTTCAGTTTGTGTTTGCTCGAGCGCTTCAGGAAGGCTTCGTCTCCGCCGCTCTCCTCCAGCATCATGATCAGGAACTTGAACACCACAACTGCAAAATAGCTGCGGGGAAATAAAAATAAATAAAAAACAATAGAACAGGAGAATTAAAGGATGGAGCTGAAGGAGACAGGATGGGTTCAAATGTTAGGATGTTTAAAACCATACAAGTTACGCAACAGAGCGGCTGTTTTCTATAAAATGTATGAGTTTCAATTTGGCATTTCAACAGCAGGGATCTGTGGGTTGTCAAACAGCTTTGTGGAAGGAAAGAAAAACGTGGATTAAAAGGAAAGTAAGAAAAACCCACCAGGCAGAGGTCATGTCWGTAAACATGACACCTCTGGGGATCCACATTCCCAGACATGACATAGTGCTGATCACCTGAAACATAAGAAGAGGTGAAGAATTAAAACTTCTCATCCAGTTTTGTAAAAATCAAATCAACAATTTGGATGCAATATTTACCGGAGCCGCCCCATTCACCCAGACAATTAAACTCTTCTTATTGGCAGGAACTTTTCTATAAATGTAGATGCATTCTTCTAGAAAAATCAGCAAGGAAAACGCTGCCATAAAAGTCAGAACAGAATACAGGATGACGCCAAAAATGTCCAAATCTGAAAAGACAAAACAAACAAACAAATAAACAAATAAATAAATTGTTTGAGATAGGTTTCACTTTCTGTCATCTTCAGATTGGAGCTGAAGCCCAGAGGCTGTTTCCTGAGAAACTCAAATTAATCTTAAATTACGTTGAAATGAAATGAAACCTGGTTTGTTTTATCTCCATATGGGATAAATAAATAACTTTATACTGTAAAATAAGAAAAACTCCAGTATATTTAGATAAAAAAGGACTAAATTAATAAAAAGAAATTTGGATCATTTTGCTGTTCTGATGTAAATAGTAATTTGATTTTTGTTTGTWTGAAAAACAGCTAGGTAACAAAAGCTGCAATTAACAAGCTAACATGCTAAATCAGTCYAATTTCAGCACATTACTGTTTTTAATGTTATTCATGTGCCTCCAAACGTAACTTTCATTAAAAGAAAATTAAAAGAAAACTGAATGATTTTGAAGAAAGTGACCAAAACCAGAAAGCTAATAATGAAAAAAAGTTGCCATTAGCATGCTAACACCCTAAAACAAGCTAATTTTGGCATGTGTTGAATTTCTAGACTTTTTTATTTATTTATAAAATTGAAAACAAAACTACGGAGCCCGTCCGGTGACATGGAATAAAATTAATTACCATGTGGCCACGAGATAATAATGCCTGCCCACGCAATGACTAAAGTGTGCGTGATCATTAATGTGGCCTGCATTAAGGGCTAATTCTGAGCAGCCTTGTTGTGAGACACAGACATTACTGGAGTCAGACATATCCTGCATTGTTTTGTCTTTAATTGTTTAAATATGCACGCGTATTATTATTATTAGTATGCCAATATACAGCAGGTAAAATAAGTATTGAACATGTCACCATTTTTCTCAGTAATTATATTACTAGAGGTGCTAATG